TCATTTTATCCATTCCATGTATTTGCGAAATATATTTATATGTTACTGAAACGAGACACAGAAAAATGCATGCCTGTAGAGGTGTTTCTCAAACCCAGTTAGTAGACATGCTTAGAAATTAGACGATAAGATAAAAAGTATGAAGATTGTAGATGTTACGGATATTTCCTAAAACAATTTGCTTAGAATAATCCTGGCACTTGTTTAAGACAGAGACATCAAAACAATGTGAGGTAGTAGCTCATCGAGGAAGAAAGACACTGTCAAGTAGTAGCGCTATATCGTGAATTGGCAGAAGTTAGAATTCATGGATTGGTAACTGAATCGGGTCCCAGCGGTTTAACGGTCCCATTTGAAACTCTTCTCTCAGCTGGATGTATCTGCTTTCCCCAGTGAGTAATGTTGTTCTCACCGATGCTCGAACCCAGTGCCCATAGTTTCAAACGCCAAAGCGTTATCCACTAAACCACTTGGGCCACGACAGCCACCTCTTGTACAACAGGTCATATTGATTATGCAACTCAATTTTAGATTTTCCCGTCGATTGATTGGACCGAAGTGCTCGGTCTAACCAATCGACGGGCTTTATCCATCCCTCTGTTTATTATACCATTTTAATTCCTAATTGTAATTTTATTAATCTGACCCTCGACAGGAAATTATTCTGGGACTTTCCTACCCATTTATTATAAATACACGAATAAACAGCCTAGCTGATGATTTCTTCGAAAAGAAAATTATCTTCACTGCAAGTGTCTTTTTATTCCCTATAATGACTCAATTAATGTAATTGTAGAACTTGAGCACTGTGGTAGAATGTAATTCCATATTAGATAAGTTTATTTTATGAATCACACAGTGATGATGCAGCACTAGTAACTGGATGACGAGGTTTCGAGAATAAATTATTGCTACTCATAATCATATCAATTTAGTCACACGTCTTCACATTTTGTCTTATATTTATTTTCTCTCTTTCTGTCTATCCAACTTCCTTTTGCCGTTTGTTGGACAGTTAGTGGAACAGTTATTTTAAGCCAGCTAGCCAGCCAGTCAATCGCTATGTAGGGAGGTATAGGCTGTGTGGCTAGTTGTGGTCCTCAGAATGGTAGGAACCGATGAAGTCTGAAAACAGTTAGTGATATTTCTGGTTGGCTAACTGGTGAAGATGCATTGACTCTTTGTGATTTGTCATCATATCCAGTAGAACTCTATTGTTCTTCTATATGATGATTGCTACTCCTTTTTCCCTGAGTGAAACTTGTGTTTATAATCTCTTTTGTTGAATTTCCCTTTACTGTCTCTCCTTGCATTGTGTGTGGTGCATGGAGGGGGAGTGGGAAATCGAACTGGTGGACATTTGTGTAAAGTTCTATGTTGAAACCAGTCAGTCAGTCACTTCTCCTGCTCGTGTAGAACTGGATATAACGGCTGTACTCAGCATTTGCTGTGCAAACATATCATTGAAGATTTACTCTCATAGTTTTATACAGGAGATAAAAGACTCCCCACACATCTCTACTGTGGAACATCCGATTGAATCTGTAAAAATCAAGCGAACTCGTAAACCAACTTCAAAATCATCTAGAGAACACCATGGAAACCTTCTTAAAGAAGTAGTCCGAACCAAACTTCTTTAAAACAACAGAATTGATGGCAATCCATATGCTAAATCGTGAACTCTGCATACAGGAGAATTCTGTTTTTGACTGTTTAGCCTACAATGAACCTGATCTGTCTTAACACGGGATACCTAGTTGTTTTTTTAATGCTACGTGCAATTGGATGCAGTGCAATGGCTGAACCTTTTCCTAGGTTATTTAGCTTAGCAAGGTCAATCATTCTAGGCCTAGCTAAATCCCAATGTTTCCATGATCTAACTAACCCCGATCTACTTGTTTGACATCTGTATAATTGACCTCACTAGCAGTTATTACATGGTATTCGATTATATATAATTGGATCCACGGAGTCCTTAAGCTGACAAACTTTGTCTCTGACTGGGTTGGTTGATTTAAATGTCATCCTAATTCCAGTATCATTACGAATTCCACGTAACGTCATCCAGTTATAAACATGCTGCATCACTGTGCGTTATATCGAATTAACTGATCTAATAGAGTAGACAGAAACTAATATGAAATTGTGCAGGAGGATAGATCGATTGGGTCCCTAAGCCAACAAAGGCTGGTTGGTTTATATACCACCCTAACTAATTCGAGTCTAGCTGACATTCCTTCTTCATATTGCAGTACTACTACAGATGCCTTGAATTCGATATTATTTACGTCATTTTTATTGATAATCTTAGTCTTTCTATGGTTCTTCATATTTATTTCTGAATAAATTCTGATGGGTAGTCTGTTATTCACTAGTAATACTGCCCTCATTTGTTTAACTTCGTTATTTAACTCTTCTGGCTTACTAGTTAGGCTCTTGACTCGATTATACAGACATTCAACTAAACTCATCCTCCTTCACGGATTCTGAATGGGATGAATTAAAGTCTAAGTATTCATTAGAGTGTATTTTGGTTTCCTGTAAATGCAAGCTAGTGTCTAACCTCCCACCATCGTATTTTATTTTTATTCTACACAGTCTAGCATGGCCAACTCACCCTTGTTTGTTTTCTACCTCAGAAGTGAATCCTGTGGATTTCATCTGCTATTGAGTTCATATGTGTGAAAAAAAATTGAGGGATATGTTCAAAATTCAACACAGTGACAAAATAAGACAATTAGAAACAACAGCTGTATCCAGTAGTATGCTCCAGTATGGTCATGATGACCAATTATCTCTTCTAACTGATGTATCAGTATTCAATGATGATTAGGCAGGTTCATCGTCGTATTTCCGAACATCATCCAACATGGTTAAGCAAGGGAGGACAAACAAAATCTATTCGTAGTTCTATTTTAGCCCACCTTGTTGATACTGAGCACAAAGTTGATGTTAATGCTGCATTTAAAATTATTTATCGCATTCCTACTAATCTTAATTTTGCTCTACGAGTTCGTCTTCTACAGAGAGTTGAAGCAATCGGGATCCACCTGAAGAAGCCAAGCCTATGTGTTCAGAAGAAATTTGTACAGTCACTTTCCTTACCGTGGCCATCTCTAGAAGAATGCATAAACAGGACTACGTCGCCCCCTCCCCCTAAACCTTTAAAAACTATAAAAATTATAATTGTCCAAATTATTTTATTTTTATTTATTTTGACCACTTCATTTTTAATTAATTTATTCTAACCATTTCTACCTTTTAAATGTGTATTGATTTTCTTCGTTAATTATCAACCCATTGACATTTTGACACTGTTTAATTATTGTTAACAAACATATCAGTGCCCCTTGATTGGTAAACTGTTGTGTATTGTAATAAAAATGCTATACGTGTATATTAGAGTAGAGCCAGAGATGAGGATCTAATTGAAAAGGTTAATATTTCTTCGCTCAATCTTTCTGTTTTCTAAATGTCTAAATGGGGATTTTTTTTCTATATTGAAATCGAAATAACTGTAGCCAATCAAAAAAATCCCACCCACCCCCAAAAAAACCTCATAATCTACTCTAATTGTTGTCACTTTTATTGATCTTAACATCATCTTCAATATCTAAACCCACTTACAATCCAACCCTACACCGAAAAAGAAAAATCGATAAAATCACTAACTGATCATTTATTTTATTGATTAATTAGATTAGATCTCAAGAATCTGTACAATATACATTGAAGAATTACACACATACACACACACAATGAAATCAAAGATACAAGTTATATAAATAAGTGAGCATTGATTATTGTCCAGAGGGATCCTCACCCCACCCTATTGTAATAAAAGACAAATCACCATCAGAAAAACATAGAAAGAAAGATCGATAAAATACGAGAGGAAAAATGGTGATCATGATTTCAAAGGAAAAAACTGGATTAAGATTTGAGGAGTGAGAGCGAGGGGCAAAAGACACCACTCTAAAAAGAAAGGGGAGTAAAAATTTGTACAAATATATATATTGAGATCATATCCACACATACATTGTGTGTATGTATGTATGTGTGAGTCAGTGAATATGTGTGTCATGGTGATTTGACAATGATTGTGATTGAAGTTGAGGCGGGTTGGGGTGTGGTGGTTATAAAATGAGTTCATTTGAAGAGAGAAGACACCTAAATTGAGGAAATGAAACATAGAAATGGAAAAGTTTCCTTGGGAGGAAATCTCGTTTGTCTGTTTTAAAGGAAAAGAAGTACCACCACCATCCCCCCCAAAAAAACGTGAAACCACAGAGAGAGAGGGAGAGGGAGAAGTTAAACAACTCAAAAATAAGTAAAGGTAATCATTATTTGTCATGATAAGAAAACGGTCCCCCCCTCACTAAGGTGTTTGTGCGTTTCATTTTAGGTAGTGTAATTATCACACCATCAATTCTCAAATGACTAGGGAAGTTAAAACAAAGAAAACACGGGGGAACATTGAATACACACACACAAATACACACATAAAACCAAAATTATGCGATGAAAGTAGGAGATGAAACGAATATACACAGCGATAAAGACGGAGCCGGAGGAAAAGGAAGCAGAAGAAGAACACGGAGACGGAGACGGGACAATTAAATTAAAACCATCAAATTAACCCATATGTTTATATACGTTTGTTTTGTGCTATTTTATACACAAAGATCAATTGGAAATTATTGCTGTTGCGCATGTGTGTGTATTGACACTATAGTGTGAATACAATTATAAAATAAGAGTAAAATACAAGTTTTGTTGCTCTAGGCTCCGATCCCTGGTCGGAGCATCGGCATCGGCGTCACCATCACCAACACTGCCGAAGAACTCCCAGAAACCTCGGCTAAGCCGGTTATAGTAATAAGCCCCGAGGTAAAAAAAAAGGAAAGTTGGGCTAAGTAAGGGTAAGGCTAACAAATTCACCCCCACCCCATTTTATTGATTGATTGATTAATGAATTAATTAACTAACTAACTAACTGACTAACTTGACATACGAACATAATCGTATCCAGGAATTTTAGACGATGAAGAATGCATAGACGGTGGATTACGACTACTACTTGTAGTTGGAGTTTGAATAGGCGTCAGTATCCTTTTATTTTCAGCATGTTTCGGTGATTTTTTACGTGAACCTATTGATATCAATTTGGTCGGTTTCTGTTGATATTGTTGACTTTCAATGGGGAATGTATTTATCCCTAAAGGATTTAATGAAACAGGAGATTGGTGCTGTTGACGAGGATTAACAACAACTCCTCCTCCTGTTGTTGTTGCTGTTGTCGTTTTCGTCGGTGATCTGGATCCTGACAGATGTTTAACAGGTGATGCATAAGTTGAATGAGATTTCTGTTGTTCACGTGAATGATTCACCATCAAAGGATTTCCTTTTGATTGAATACCATTCAATTCATTAGGTAGACAAGTCAGAGAGGAGGTCAAAAGGTTACCGACATTATTATTATTGTTAGTGTATTGATTATTAACTTTTCGCTTTTCAATCGCTTCACTCAAAGCCGCCGATTGACTATGCGATATCGGCGTAGAAGAAGAAGGAGGAGGAGAGGAATGATTCCCTTGCTTCGCTGATAAATCAGTCTCATTGAATTTTGAGCGTAGAAATGTGAATTTCCAATCTTTGGGAAGTTTCCCGTTGCCATTAGCATCAAGAAGTTGGGATTCTTGATCAAAGTGATAGGCTTGTTCATCACCAAGGGAATCGACATCATCATCACCATTATCGTTTTCCACCTCTGTATTGCAATCATTGTCGTCGTCATGGTGATACGGATGATACTGACGTTGACTTGTAGAATAATTTGAAGGCTTCAATTTAGTTTTCAGCTTTTTTCCAATATTTAGATTATAATGCCGACGATTATGATGATTGTGTCCAGTTGTCGAAAATACACTGTCATTATCGTCAACAACAGCAGCAGCAGCACGACCACCACGAGAGTAGTCATCCTTATGACGATGATGGCGGTCATTCAGTTCACTTCTGTCATCATCATCACCAAATGCTGCTTCATCATCCGCATAGTAATCCTCAGGAAGACAACTGATAGTAGTACTCTGTTGATGGTGTTCTGGTTCACTCTGTGACAACATTGTCGGTTGATGATAATTTGACGACCTCTCAGAGGTTGTATTACTTCTTTCATCACTTAGAAGGGATTCACCTCGTCTAATATTCACACCCACGCCCAAACCAGGATTATCGTTAACGATAGACTTTTTAGTTGGAATATGATGATTAGGAACGGTTGACGGCGGTGGTATTGGATGACTTGACTTCATATTCGGGAATCGATGATGTTGGTGATGCTGCTGCTTCTGCTGGTGGTTGGATAATAAATAGTTATTCTTGAAATAAGCATAATCTGGTATTGAATAGCGTTTATCATCAATCGTATAATGTTTTAGTGTTGCACCTCGATGTTGACTGCCACTACAACTACTGCTTGTCGTTGTACTACTTGGATGATTCGCATAGTAAGCAGTTAATATACGCCCAGGGGATAGAATTGTTCCATTCGCGTGCGTTTTACACGATACACCATTGACAATTGAATTATGCAGTGGTTGTTCCCCATCATGATAATTCATCATAATGACACCGGCAGTTTCCTTCTGATTACCATCGCCTATATCATCACTGTTATCCCCGCCAACTTTGCCAAACTTCTCACCGCTCAACGACAGCATCGATTTATTAAAATATTCAACATCCAAGTCATTATAACCTGGATGAAAAGCTGTCCGAAGTTCAATACACGATCCACCAATTCCATAATCTCCATAATGATCAATCATTCCACAATCATTGGCCGTAGCCACAGTCTTATTACCAATCCCTGGCGGAGCTCCAATTCGCGAAGTGTTGTTCTGTAAGAAATCAGCTTTCAATAGTCCACCGTTTAGAGTATTCAATCCACCAGCGGCGGCAGCAGCCGCGGCGGCACCACCAACACCCCCTACACTGATCATACTAGCCAATAGGGAACGATGTTGATGATGATAACCTCGATGCCGGTTACACACTTCCCGGTTGACAATCAATATAATCCCGATAAGGATAACCAGGAAAGCGATAATTACACCGATTATATAAGGTAGACTACTTCTTTCACTGGTATTATTCACACTTGTCTGATTAATAATAGATTGATTTGGATAGGTGGCGTTATCGCCTGTCTGGAGTTCATGTTTAGAAATCACAGTTAACATTGGATTATCTAACATCAGGCTGTTGCCGCCATAACTATACTTGATATCTTGACATAATTGAAGACATTTGTCTAAATTGTTCAGATATAAATTTCGCATTGCACATAAATGATCACATCGACATTGTGAATAAGCTCGTGGACATAGACCATATTTATTCAAATAATTCGGTTTCAATGCATGCTGTCTACCGCCTAATTCATATCGCCAATAATCTGACCAATAACCATTATCTTCTTGTAGAAAATTATGATACAATGTGGTTAGCGATTTCGGGGATAAATCGACTAGTTGATAGGCTGTCAAAGTGTCATATTCTAACTGCCAATTATTATGATTGTCATTTGTCGGTGAGAGCTGATTTTCTAAATTGTAATAGTATTGTGCATAGCCGAGTAGTTTCATTGTTGACCTCTGATAACGGTATAATCGAATTCGAGGATTTAAATCGCCTAGACCGTGCAACAGCATTGGGGAGACGGATGGCATTAGAAATAATGAAGCCACTGAGATATCTATAGAAAAAAGAAAGAAGGGAAAAGAAACACAATTATAAATAAGATGAATAAGCCTTATGGAAAATGGGTGATGGTATAATATACCAACAAAACATTTTTACTTCAAAATAGCGCCTATGACAGTAGAAAAACGACAGGTTTTACAACTGTTGCGCAACCATGGATCCCTACGGATTTGTTTCAAGTATGATCATGTACTGACGTCAGCTAGAGAACCAGAAATTACTGAACGTCTGTTTCGTCTTGGTCGGAGACTCTTCAGCAACGCCGCACACTCCCACCCCGGGGTTCGAACCCAAGACCTACCGGTGACTAGGAAACCTCGTAGATCATTCTCAACCAATGGCCAGTCCATGAATTTCAACTATTCTACCAATTTGTGACTCTAGCACAACCACGAAACAGTGTCACCAGAGGGTATTTCTCCACACACACAACCTGGTGAATCCTATAGTTAACGACTTCTCACCAGAACTCTAAGCAATTTCGTTCAGTAGCCAGTAGTCACCAGTGACTGTCAGATTAAATTTCACGAGTTCGTTTATCGGGATTTGATTTATAGCAGTTAGTTTCCTTTATGAATTTCGACAACACAATAAGAAGACGTAGTTTATCTGAAACGTGTAATGTACTGGCGCAACACATTTCCGACATTCTGGTCACACACACTAGTACTTGTCATACACAGTTTTATAGAAGGCAAGTAGGCATGAATAATTACAATACAGGTCAGATTGTGAACAGGTCAAGATCACAAATAGTGGGTAAGGAGATGACGTAGAAGTGTGGGTCAGGAAGAGAAAAAGAGAAAAAACAAAGCAAAGAAGGGGTTGAAAATATTATGAAGTAAATTGATTCTGGGTTCTAAATTGGATTACCAAGGGAGGTTTAAAGTAATAACAAATAACCTTTTGGACACATAAGACAGATAGGTTTAAGTCTTTTTATGGCTAAGGCTTCAACGGACTTAAGTATGTGACCAAACCTTGTTTTACATATGGGCTTAAAGCCGTTGTTGAAATCAACCTTATGACCTGTCCCTATAATGTGCTTCGCTATAGATGATGTTGGACATCTATTTCCGGGATCACTTGCATCTGGCGATTTTACTTATTGTTGGAGCCACTTTGGAATGTGTTCTGTAGCCCTAACCTGCAGAGATCGATGAGTCCTCCCTTATGTACGTGTCCCCACATATATGTAAATTGATAAACACAATGGATACTGTGAGGAATTACAGGATAGCATCGTTCTCGTTTTCTCTATGAAGATAAGTTTAGCTGCATAATAAGTTCTATTAATTGCCGTATTTAATCTTTGTTTAGTGATCAGACTTTATTGATCACCCTTGAACGGCAAGGATATGTAAACATCCTTTTTGGGAGCTGATTGGATTGGTAAAGCTCTATGATTGACACTTCCGTAACGCCTAATAAATCTCAGCGGGTAATTGTTATCTAACAACGAATTAAATCACCAGACACAAGTGACCCCGGAAATAGATGTCCAACATCATCTATAGCAATGCACATTATAGAGATGGGTCATAAGGTTGATTTCAACAATCCCCTTAAGCCCATATCTAAAACAGGGTTGGGTCACATTCTTAAATTCGTTGAAGCCTTGGCCATAAAAAGACTCAAGCCTGTCTGTCTTATGTGTCCAAAAGTTATTTGTTATTACTTTAAGCCTCCCTTGGTAATCGAATTTCAACCCCTTTTTTGTTTGTTTTTTCTCCTTTTTTCTTTCTTACCCATACCTTTGCGTCATCTCTCTACCCACTATCTGTGACCTTGACCTGTACACAATCTGACCTGTATTATAATGATGCATGCCTTCTAGCCTTCTATAAAACTGTGGGATTTGATTTATTTCAAGTCTAATCACAGATTGATATGACAGTTAGAGAACAATAGGAAGGCCAACAGGGAGTAGTGATAAGGAGTTTCGGCCTAGTTTTGGACTCTTCACAGCACAATGCACACACCGAGTTCCGAACAGAGGACCACCACCTTCCACTTACAAGGCAGTCGTTTCGTAGACCAGCCAGCACCACTAGGATCATATCAAATGACCAGTCAGTCCATGAACTCTAACTATTCTACCAATTTGTGATATTAGCGCGACTACCAGTCACCACCAGTGTCTTCGAGAAATTTATACAAAAGCAGAAATTCAACCACCAATCACGAGAGAGTATGTAAAAGAGCCAATCATATCCAAGTTGTATTGGATTAGCAGGCTAATAGATACGCTAATGCAGAAAGTGTTATATAAACCGAATCAAAACTCAGAGATTATAGACCATTATTTTCAAATGAACTCTCTCAAGATCAAACAGCCACTATTGGCTAGTCAACAGACATGTTTGTGTTTTAAATAACAATCCCTGAAGAGTGATAATATCACGGTACACGGAGCAGTATCCCCCTCTGATCCTATAATCAGTAAACTAGTTAGTTCAAACCATGGATGTATTGATCATTTGTTCACGCTTCTTCAGTTGGTGGAACACCGCCACACGTGGTGCAGGCCAACAATCGTTGCGTTTCCTGATATCAGGCTGCCTTCGATTCGTTAAACAGAACTGTTTCCTGCATCTATCCTTTAAAAGCAGGTTTAGCTGACCAGTATGTTAGCATCCTCAAAGCTCTATATACAAAAACACCTCAGGTAGAGTGAGGGCATACAAACCAACTATCATAACTGTTCCCAATCAACAGTGGGGTTTGAAGGACTTGTGCAATCTCTCTATTTCTCTTTAACTTTACCATCAATGACATTCTGGAGTCAGCTCTGAAGGAAGTGTGTGGTGGTTGTGGTGTAGATCTGATTCCTGGGGGAAGACTTTTAGACTCGAGTATGTAGAAAGCATCACCCAACTGTGGAATAACATACAAACTGCTCAAATCGCACCTAACCAGTTGGCGATCAGCGTCTCTAAGTACGGCATATGCTCTACGCTGTCTAAGTACAAAGGGCTTTTACAAGATTGGCAGGAGCCTGTACTCAACTGCAATCACTATTGCAGGTGAACGTCTTGGCTTAATGGTCTACGAGTTCGTCTTGTAAGCAGAAAGCCATGGGTTCAAACTTCGGTGGGTGCAAACTGCTATGAAGAGTCCCAGACTGGGACGAAACACCTGTCAAGTATTCCATGATGGTTTTCCAGTGGTTCTCTCTCTAACTGATGTCAGCTCGAAATCAAATCTACAACCAATAAAATCCCTGCACAAACCCCAACACTTTTGATTCAAAATATTTTAGAAATACTCAAAAGAAAAAAAAGCTTGATGAACTTACTTGATTTTGACACCAATAATCGAAAACTGTCCACATGTTCATGTGCAAATAATCCAGCCATTAATAAGTCAGCATTATAAATTAGAATATTAACAAATCGATCGTTAATCTCTGGTCGAAGAAATCGAAAACCAGCTGGTGCATTTTCTGATGCTCCAGGCGGAAAATGACTGACGAGTAAAACCTTGAAAAATAAACAAATAAAAAAAAAAAATTATTGATTTTCGAATTCAATTCCCAGAATAGGTATTTCATAATCCAGACCGACAGCCACACTTTATTGTGTGTGTGTGTGTGGAAGGGCTGGAGAAGGAGCGAAGTTCGAACCTGGGACCCCCTGGACTGAAAGACGAGCGTTGAAACTAGTGAGCTACATCTCTCTACCTTCTTCAAATAGTTTACCCCCCCCCTTCTTTCTCAACATCATTACCAATAAAAACTCAAACCTTATCAGAAGTACACGACAGTATAGACTGACTGATATGCGTAGCTGAAGACCACTCACTCTTCAATTAGTAGTGCTCGCAAACTAGATCGAAATAATCGAAACATTAGATGGCAGTTTCGCTTGTTTGCAGGTTAAGCTTATCAGAAATGTAATCGGCTTGACTCAGTTCATAAAAGACCTCAAAAAGTTCAGGTCACCTGAATTCAGGTTAGCTGTACCACCTTGCCAGACCAGATACGTCAGTGGTTCAGCGGTAGAATGCTCTCCAACCACGCTTCAGGTGGTCCGGGGTTCGATCCCTGGCCGATGCATTCCAAAACCCCGCTAAGGTGGTAGTGAGGCAGATATAAACAGGAGGTTGGGTGTGAGGTTAGCAACCCCATATCTTAAAAAACCCACAGCTACCGAAACCTCAAGACTCCAGCTTGAGGCTCTATGTTCCATTAGGAACGTAAGGGAATAAAGTAAAATAATAGTAAAATACCTGAGTGAAGCGATAATACATTGCATGAAATTCGAAAAGTCATATAATTGCGTCGGGGGGAACTATTTTCAAAAGTGTATACCAAATACCGATGATACACATGAAACAATATTGTTTTTCTTTTAAACGCACGCCATCAAGATGACTTTATTAAATTTTTTTAAACTTATTATTTCCTTGAATTTCGAGTGGAATATACAGCATCAACAGTCCATCTCCATTTTACTCCGTTCTCTACAGTCCCCTTCAGTTGTCTCCACGATTGCCATAGACTGATGTTCCCTCCTCACACGATCTGATCCATATCACTCGCGAACACCTCCCTCATCGTTTCCCATTCGAGCGCCGGTTTGCATTGCACACAATGCCACCCGACGATTTCTTCAATATGTCTCCGATTCATCTCCACTTTATCCTGCATATTTGTTGAGCAATCGGTTCTTGGTTGGTTTGTTCCACTGCGAAGTTTCTTGTTACTAATTCTTTCTGGCCATTTTACCTTTAGTATGGAGCCAGCCAGAGAAGGCAGTTGTTGGTCAAAGTCTGCAACCTGTTGAAAATCCTTTTCGTGACACACTTGGCCAAGTTTCTGACCAGTGTACAAGGACCGACTTCACATTGCTGTTGAAAATCCGAATGTTGTTCTTTGTGATGAGGTAGACTGCAGAAGATTTCCAAACTGCTATCAGGTTGACGAAGGCTTGTCTTTCCAATTCTGGCTTTGACATCTTTATCCGTTTCCTCCATGTGGTTGAAACGATGCTGGCCGCCTAGATAAGTGAAGGAGGTAGCCTCTGTTAAATCTCTTCCGTTGATGGTGATTGGTGCTGGTTGTTGGTGTTCACCTGGAGTCCTGTCTTAGTTGCCTGCTTCCTCTCCCAGTCGCTTGGTTTTCACCTGTAAGTCTTCCAGTTTGTGAGACATGAGGCACAAATCAACCGTGAAATACAGATCTTCTAGAGTCTTCCTATCAGTTTAACGTATTCCTATCGTCTCGCGCTCCCCACACACACTATCTGACGACGCATAATCCTATTCACCACAATTAGGAATATCTTTATTGATAATAGGCAACCATCTAGCCAGAGTATGTTGTAGCAACACATCGCTCGACTGACATCTGCTTGCATTAGATATTCAACCAAAAAGCTGACTGAATACGTTGAATTTCGTCAGGAAACGACAAGATTTAGAGGGCGATTTAAAGTCGAGAAGCACAGGGGAGCCGTTACGTCCTAGTTTGAAAATCCAAAAAGAATTTACTCCTCTGAGAAATTTCTGAACCTTGGATTCTTTGACGTTAAGTAGAAGGAGACGTGTACTCACTGGCCAACAACATTGAAAGATTGTGATGCTATATCACAAATTGACAGAATTTCAAGTTCATAGACCAGTTTCGTGGCTGGTGAATAGTCAACATGTTCCGTTCATAACTTCAAGGTCCTAAGAGAGGTTAGACACCTAATGGAATCTTCGATGCTCACGTCTGAAACTGTCCTAAACGAAGAAGAAAAACCACAAATTGGACTAATTTCCTTTTAAGCGTTAGTTTGTAGAGATCTGATTTGTTCAAACTTTGAACACGGCAGTCTGCTTAAGTCACTGGGTTACTGAAATGTCCATCCATCAAAATGCTGCTTAAACTCTTCTACATTTCACAGTGTTTTAATCATACAAATTTTATATCCGATGACCACTACATAAACTCGCGAGTTTATTTAATTAACTCCCAACTAAACTCTGTACATTTCTTGAAAGAGATGAAAAAAATGAACACAATTGGGTCTCTATTTATATACACAACAACGCCACGTTACATTTATTTATTTTATTCTAGCTTGACTCCACACAGTATTTTTGATATAAGTATGAAATTTTCAGCATGTGATAGCGGTAGCCCAAATTTAGCAGGCCGATCATTGATATCAGGTGTGTGCGGGGGATAGAACTCCGGACCATGTGGGTGGACGTTGCAACTGCTGTGCCACCGACGCAGATGTTTACTTTACATGTAATTCCTGTATGAAGAGGAATTATTATTATTATTATTATTGTTCCCTTGGGTTCCTAGTGGAATATAGGGCTTCAACTGCACGCCTCCACTTGCTTCTGTCTTCTGCTGTACTTTTCACTTGCATCCATGTTAGTCCATACTGTTTCAGTTCCTATTCACACGATCTCCTCCATGTCACCCTTCGACGTCCCACTCACCGCTTCCCTTTCGGGTTCCACTCGAACACTGCCTGACGCGCGATGTCACCCAGCGGCCTCCTCAGCTCAGTGAGTGTCCAATCCATCTCCACTTTCTCCTGCATATTTGTTGGCCGATTGGTTCTTGTTTTGATTGTTCCCATAGTTTCTTGTTGGTGATTCTTTCCAGCCATCTAATCTTGAGTATAGAACGAAAACAGTTGTTGATGAATGTCTGCAACAGGCTGTTGAAAATATTCTTGGTGACCCACCAAGTTTCTGACCCATCCGTATAGAAGAACTGACTGACTTGACGTTTGTATTGAAAATCCGAATCATTTTGTTGTTGATGCTGAGTTGAGTGACGAAGATTTCCAGATTGGTTTCAGGTTGATGAATGTGTTTCTCGACTTCCCGATTCTCGATTTGACATCCTCGTCCGTTCCTCCTGTAGTTGAGGCAATGCTCCCTACCTAGATAAGTGAATGAAGTAACCTCTTTCAGATCCCTCCCGTTGATGGTGATTGGCGCTGGATGTCGCTGATGCTGTTGTTGTTGTTGGTTGGTTATTTTCATGACCTCCGTCTTGTCTATGTTCACCTGGAGTCCTGTCTTCTCTGGCTGCTTCTTCGACCAGTTTACCGGTCGGTTTTCGCTTGTAAGTCTTCGATCTTGTGTGACATCAAACATAAATCATCCACACGCGAAATCCAGGTCTTCTAGGTTCTTCACTTCGGTCCAGGATATCCCTGTCTTCTCGTTTCCCACTGTCTGACGCATAATCCAGTCCACCACAATTAGGAATATCATTGGTGATAATAAGCATCCTTGTCTGACTCCTGTGTTTACTCGAAACGCCTCGCTGAGTTTTCCGTTGTGGATCACTTGACATGTGCCGTTGTCGTACAGATGTTGAATAAGGTTGATGAATATTTGGGGTACGCCGTAGTACTCGAGTAGTTTCCAAATTACTTCGCGGTCAACGCTGTCTGTCGAAGGCCTTCTCAAAGTCTATAAAGTTGAGGTAGAGGAAATATTAAGAGGAACTAAATACGCTGAAATATTTCTGTCCTATGTGTCCACGTATTGTCTGAAATAAAGCTTTTTTATTATTATTATTATTATTATTATTATTATTATTATTATTATTAGGCGAATACCCCATCATTTCAAGATTTCTTGTAATTTTTGTATATTATGGCTTCAGACGCTTCTGGAAGACTAACGGTTATATTAATAACTTCCCTTTATACATCTGATGAAAAATTCCACAAATATTCTGTTACTAGTTGACATTATTATTGCTATTATTGTTTGATCTTTTCTGCACGACATTTTCTACAATCTTTCCTAGCGTTAATTTCACTAATGTCAAGTGATTTTATACGTGAACAGTCTTCAGGTTATTTTGTTGACCTTTAATTGGAGGAAATTATTATTACTATTATCTCTTTTGGTTCCTAGAGGAACATAGTGCTTCAGCCGCGGATCTCCATTGCATTCAGTTCTCCGCCACTTCCTGACCCCCCCCCTCCATGTTACACTCGCACTGACGACCAACACGCCGATTCCCATTCGGTCGGGGTCCACTCAAGCAACGGCTCGGCGTGTGATGTCAATTGATGGTTTCTTCAGAGTATGACCAATCCACCTCCATTTCTTCCTACATATTTCTTGCACAAATGGTTCCTGCTCGGTTGGTTCATTGCCAGAGATCCCCAATGCAGATCTTTTCTGGTCAGCCATCTGATCTTGAGTACTGAGTGAAGACAGCTGTTGATGAAGATCTGTAGTTTGTTCGAAGTGCCCTTCGTGATGCGAAACCAAGTCTCTGATCCATGTAGTAAGTACCACTGACTTCACATTGGATTTGAAAATCCGGATATTACTTTTCATGCTGAGTGCTGTTGACCTACACACAGACCTGAGGGTAATGAAAGCTTGCCTTGCTTTCCCGATCCTCGCTTTCATATCCTCATCAGTCGCGTCTGTCTGTAGCTGAAACGATACTTCTCAGGTAGGTAAAGGAAGTCACTTCTTTCAGATTTCTCCCATTTATGTTGTGAATGAGGCAAAAACATTATTAGCCATATGGAAGAATAATAGAGTTCTACTAGATATGATGACAAATCACAAAGAGTGAATGAATCTTCGCCAGCCAACCAGCCAGCCATATCACCAGTTGTTCCCAGACTTCATTGGTTCTTATCATCCCGAGGACCACAACCATTCAGTCAGGTGGTCTACACCTCCCTACGTCGCGCATGACTTAAACTAACTGTTGTGGATTCCATCGACCGATGAAGCCATGTTTTCGTTTGACCACCACTAGCTCTTCTCCATCCTGATCCGTCCTATTTCAGCTGACATCTCACGACGAGGAAAGCGACGGATAGTTATGCATAATACAAGTCCTAACTATCTCAATCAATGTAACAACCTCACAACCGCCATCGACTGATATTCCCTCCTTATCTAGCACTTGACCAATGATGCCACACCAACAACTCCATATTACTCACCCTATCGTACTATCTAACATGATGGGCTGTAGATAGAACGCAGACACCTATGATGTTGAAAGACAGCTAGCTAGCCAGCATTTTCATGTCTTCCACTTTCAGGGGTCATGCATCATGGCCATAAAAGAGAACAGAGCGAACTGCTACTGAGCAGTACACAATGACGGAATTCTAACACCCTACGCTAGTTAACAGCAACAAAAGAAGAAGAAGGCTAAGGTGAACACGAAAATATACACATCTATGCATAAATAATAATAATAATACTGGAAAAGAACTTACTTTCGCTTTATGTCTTCTTGCCCAACGAAATGTTTTCTGTAGCCATTCCAATTGACCTAAAGGATCATTGTCTGTATTTCCAGCAAGACTATTCCCTTGATACCAAATCAGACCGTTCAAACTGATTAAGACTAAATTTGTTCGACGACTGCTATCAGCATGATCATAATCATAATGATTATATGGACCGATATTTACAAGATGATGCGAAAAGAAACAAGCTGAAGTGTAAAAGAACAACAACAACGATAAAAAGGTTAAGATGGTTTGTTGGTTTTGCTTTAAGGAGTCATATTAATATATGTGTAAAACCTGGGAGTACTGGACAGCTGTTTCATCCTAGTTTGGGACTCTTCATCAGTACGCAGTTTTCGTTGGAGCAAGTTGACACCAATCCTCCAACGAAAACTGAAGTCATGAATGCAATCAAGCTTCTGAATGCTGGAAAAGCAGCTGGACCAGATGGAATACCCCCGGAAGCACTGAAAGCGGACCCAGAAACGACGGCAGATATGCTGACTCCATTATTGCAAAAGATCTGGAAAGACGGAAAGGTGCCTACTGACTGGAGGAAAGGTTACCTGGTGAAACTACCAAAGAAGGGCGACCTGGGACTCTGCAAGAACTGGCGAGGAATCATGCTCCTGTCGACGCCAAGTAAAATCCTGAGTCGCATCATCCTGGAGAGAATCAAGGACGCGCTGGATACAGAACTCCGACCAGAACAAGCTGGATTCAGGAAAGGCAAATCATGTTCTGACCAAATTGCAACTCTACGCATTATCATCGAACAAAGCATGGAATGGCAACCAAATCTCTACCTCAACTTCCTTCATAGACTTTGAGAAGGCCTTCGACAGACAGCGTTGACCGCGAAGTAATTTGGAAACTACTCGAGTACTACGGCGTACCCCAAATATTCATCAACCTTATTCAACATCTGTACGACAACGGCACATGTCAAGTGATCCACAACGGAAAACTCAGCGAGGCGTTTCGAGTAAACACAGGAGTCAGACAAGGATGCTTATTATCACCAATGATATTCCTAATTGTGGTGGACTGGATTATGCGTCAGACAGTGGGAAACGAGAAGACAGGGATATCCTGGACCGAAGTGAAGAACCTAGAAGACCTGGATTTCGCGTGTGGATGATTTATGTTTGATGTCACACAAGATCGAAGACTTACAAGCGAAAACCGACCGGTAAACTGGTCGAAGAAGCAGCCAGAGAAGACAGGACTCCAGGTGAACATAGACAAGACGGAGGTCATGAAAATAACCAACCAACAACAACAACAGCATCAGCGACATCCAGCGCCAATCACCATCAACGGGAGGGATTTGAAAGAGGCTACTTCATTCACTTATCTAGGGAGCATTGCCTCAACTACAGGAGGAATGGACGACGATGTCAAATCGAGAATCGGGAAGTCGAGAAACACATTCATCAACCTGAAACCAATCTGGAAATCTTCGTCACTCAACTCAGCATCAACAACAAAATGATTCGGATTTTCAATACAAACGTCAAGTCAATTTTGCTTTACGGATCAGAAACTTGGCGGGTCACCAAGAATATTTTCAACAGGTTGCAGACCTTTATCAACAACTGTCTTCGCTCCATACTGAAGATTAGATGGCCGGAAAGAATCACAAACAAGAAGCTATGGGAACAAACGAAACAGGAACCAATCGCTCAACAAATATGCAGGAGAAAGTGGAGATGGATTGGACACTCGCTGAGGAGGCCGTTGAGTGACATCGCGCGTCAGGCCAGTGCTCGAGTGGAACCCGAAAGGGAAGCGGCGAGTGGGACGTCAGTGCAAGGGTGACATGGAGGAGATCGTATGAATAGGAGTTGAAACAGTATGGATTAACATGGACGCAGGTGAAAAGTACAGCAGAAGACAGAAGCAAGTGGAGGTGTGCAGTTGAAGCCCTATGTTCCACTAGGAAACCAAGGGAACAATAATAATAATAATCAGTACGCAGGACGAAACAGCTGTCCAGTACTCCCAGGTTTTCCAATGATCCTGTAACCAACCAACTAAATCCCTACAAACCAATACTTGAATATGTGTAAAACTTGGACACTGTGGTAGTAAGTAATTCCATATTAACTTGTTGATTAGATATATCACACACAGAGTGAAACATTATTATTTACTGCCTCAATAACAAATTTTCAAACACAATTTACTTATTGTTCATAATCATATCAATTATAAACACACGACTTCGAAACTTGAGTTTTATAGTTTTCTTTGTTCTTTCCTGTTTGTCGTCGTAGGCGTAGCAGAATTTGCTAGATGTTCAGGTGGACAGGTGTTGAATCATTCCTATTACACATATTTGCAGTTGATTCGATAAACAAAGCTTCTGTTATCAATCTCTCCCTCCACCCTGTTATATCAGTTAGATTTTAAAAGTGTCATCTTATCTCATCCCATCCTATTGTATGAGTGGTTGTGAGTAATTGCATGTAGTGAGTAGTGTAGCTGAACTATTCTCTACATTTCTTATCTTATTGGGTTCCACTAGTTTTGATTTTGCTAGGTTTTTATGCTCGGCTAATCTGACTGACCGCGTTCTACCACTCTGACCTGACAATCATTCCGGCAGGGTATTAGATAAATTAAATTGTTTTGTTTTAAAGGCTCCACAGGTTCCAAAGCTTTGAGTGACAAAGCTTGTTTCTGATTGAGTTTGTGGGTTTGAATGCCCGTATTCTTAGGAATTCTGCGTAAGGTGTCCGAAGTTCCTTCCTAGTATTGAATTACCATTGATGATTTTCTATAGTTTGTTTTGTAAGGGTTAGTTATGTTTTGCGATTTGATCACGGACTGATCCCAGTGGGTGCGTACTGCCGATGATTCCCAAACTAGGATGAAACAGCAGCTGTCCAGTACTCCCTGGTTTTCAATGGTTCTCTAATTGATATCAGTCCGTGATCAATTCGCAAAAGCAAAACTAACCCTTACAAACCAAACTATAGAAAATTATTCTGATGCTCGCTAGTGACTTGCCACAGGATGGAGTTTCCTGGAGTTCTAGTGAGAAGTCGTGGCCAGTGAGGTCCAATTAGATGTCACGTGTGTGGATGGATGTCCCACCAACGACAATGGTTGGGGTCGCGCTAAAATCACGAATTGGTAGAAGTTAGAATTCATGAGCCATTGAATCGGATCCCAGTGGCTGAATGGTATACGAGTTTGCCTTGTAACCGGAAGGTCCTGGGTTCGAATTCCAGTGGGTGCGTACTGCCGATGACTCCCAAACTAGGAGGAAACAGCTGTCCAGTACTCCCTGGTTTTCAATAGTTCTCTAATTGATATTAGTCCGTGATCAACTCGTAAAACTGATGATTTTGTTTCTCGAATCAACTGCAAACAGGTGTAATAGGAACGATTCAACACCTGTCCACCTGGACATCTGGAAAATTCTGCTACCCCTACGACGACGACAAATAGGAGAGAACAAAGAAAACTACAAAACTCAAGTTTCAAAGTTGTGTGATTACAATTGATATGATTATGAACAGTAATCAATTGTGTGCAAAACTTTGTCATTCAGATAGTAAATAATACTGTTTCACTGTATGTGTGATATATCTAATAAACAAACTAATATGGAAAATATTGTTGTCATGATTAAAAATTCTTTTTTAGAACAACCTATTGGTTATGATGCGAGAAGATTTGTAACTCAGGTGGATTGATTTTGATGCATAGTTGTGTTCTCTGAGCTAGCTGGATGATTTATTTGAGAAGCTTTCATTATTGCCCTATTATCACTGTATACAGACAACCGCAAACATCACTTCATCTGGGACAACGTTCAAATCCTAGGCAGAGAGAGAGGAAACACCAAGAATGCTGGAGAATTTTTTTAGAAGCCTGACTGGTATTCCAGTGAATCGTCAATTAACAGCCCCATTGACATAGAAAAAATTTACCAATCGATAATAAGAAGGAAATCTCTCTCTGTTTCACACACACACAAAGGGTCAAACACAAGGGTCAGGTCAAGCAAACAATCAACACCACAAAATACCAACACACAAGTAGCCTAGAGAGTGTGAAAACCCACAAAAGCAATCAATCACATTCAAGGTCAGGTCACTAGGAGAGGGATGACTAATAAACTCATGGAGAAATCTAAAAAGCTCACCTCATTTCACATTGAAGTATGTATGAGCTGAAGATGTTGCTTAGTAGGGGAATGATGAAAGCTTCGCAAATAAACCATCCAGTTAAAAGAACACAACTATATCAAAATAACCTATTAGTTACAGGTTTTTCATCATGAGCTGACATTAGTTAGAGAACCATTGGAAAACCAGCACCGGAGTACTGGACAGCTGTTTCATCCTAGTTTGGGACTGTTCATCAGTACGCACCCACCACCGGGGGGTTCGAGCCCAGGACCTTCTAGTTACAAGGCTAGTGAGCTCGTATACCATTAAGCCCTATTCAGGTAGGTAGTTACCTGGGGTTCTAGTGAGAAGTCGTGACCAGTAAGGTGCAGCCGGTCGGGTGTGAGGACAAATACTCGCCACCGAAGACATTGGCTAGCGGCTGCGCTATATCGTGAATTGGGCCATTGGATCGGGTCCCAGTGGCTCAATGGTCTACAAACTAGCTGGTCTTGTAACCAGAAGGTCCTGGGTTCGAACCCCCTAGTGGTGGGTGCGTACTGCTGAAGAGTCCCAAACTAGTCTGACGAAACAGCTGTCCAGTACTCCCAACTGGTTTTCCAATGGTTCTCTTCTAACCAATGTCAGCTCATGATGAAATCCTGTAACTAATCAGGCAAATCCCTACAAACCAATACTTGAATAATAAGAATATTATGAGTCACATATTGCGTAACACACACTTCACAGACTGTTGCATACATACCCACACATGATGTAATGGTGATGATAATGGCGATTGTAAATGTCTGTATGTTTGTGTGCATGTGTGTATGTGTGTGTGTGTCAATAAATAATTAAATCTCATAAAAAAAAATTGTTTTTGAGGTATTTGTTTATTTCAACTTTGTTTTTTTTTCAATTAATTTGGTTACTTTTGTTTTGCTGTTTTTCTCTTAGTGATAATAGTCGTCACAGGTATGCGATACCACACTTACACATACGCGCACACACTGAGTCCTCTCGTTCACCTACACCCACAAAATACGCAGGTGAGTCATACCATAGTGATAAATTGCTTG